AATGAGAGTTTTTTTCCAAATAAACAAGTTTAACTTAATGAAGGCTCAAAATTACTATGTGTTGGGGGGTTACCCCAGGAGTCTCATTATCTCTAATTGGATGTTTTATTTCATGAAGCAGTCAGCATTAACTTTTAGCTTGGTGAGGAAAAAATCTCATATTTAATTGCCTCAAAATTTTCCTTTATTCCTGGGAAGACTTGGCAGGACTGTAAATATCCCTAGTGGCCAAGCTGTCAAACAAGCTCTTCCTTTTCAAAGGACATTCTTTTTTCTTTCTTTCTTTATTTTCCCTCCCCTCACTATCCAGGGCCAATTTTGGTTCTCTTTCCCACTCAACACCTCCTACTTCCTAGGCAGCACTGGTCCCCACCAGCCCTCCAGCAGACTTCAAGCAAGGGCTGCTTTCTGCCTGGGTGACTTCCTGTCTTGAGGGCTCTGTGCCCAAATTTACACCAGAAGAAATCAGTGTAACTCAAGTTTAATATAGCGCAAAGCAGAGCTAATTCTGTGCTGAAACAGTCTGGAATGGCATACCAAACTCTGGTTTTGGCCATATGTACTAGTGTTTCACACTCCTTCCCCCCAAAAAATAAGTTTCAGCTTATAGTATTATCTATTTTTATCTCATCTATAACCTATTCTAAAATTACACCAGTTAAGCAAAGCCACCTTTTCCATTTCCTGTCTTATCTCATTGGTCTAAAATCACTATCCAATATAAGTGAGCAGGGAAACATAGATTTCTTTTTAAATAGCAATAAGAAATGTATGATTTATCAGATACATTTCAAAATATTAATGGCGTAAAGACATCTTGATAAATGAGGGACGATTATTCTCCTCTTCCCAGACCAAAGTACAGCTGTGAAATCCTTCCAAACAGTGCTCAAGATGTTTGATTTCTATTTCAGTTGATATTTGACAGAAAGGATTTTATTTTTACATTATTTAGGGGAAGTGGAAATGAGTATTTGCTCTGTCCTTTTCCCTTCTTGCTCTCCTTGCTTATCCTCCTGCCTTTTTATTTGTAGTGATTGCAATGCTTTATTACACATGGTCCTGAGAGCCTTCAGGAGTTATGTATCTTCTGTGGTCAGTATTTTTCCTTATTATTTTAAGGTGTGGTAAACCCAGCTGTTGCTAACTCAACACTTGATGTCTAGTGTCTGGAATGTATAAATTAGAAGACAGCTGAAAAGCACTGTAGCCCAGAAAAAACACAGATTTTAACTGAAGCACAGACATGCTTCTCAGTGAGATTCTCTACAGCTCAGCTTCCATGTTCTAAAGTGATCCTCTAGTTCATGGAAAAAAAAAAAAAGTAGGAATACCTGAAGTTAAGGAATCGAGTATTATGTTGGAAGAAAAGGCTTTGCACTAAAGGAATCCTAGGTCTGAATTGCACTGAATTATGAATAAGAGAAGGGGAAGACCTCACTTTTCAGCACTAGCCCACAGTCCCATGAAATTAGTTGCAACTAAAGCCACGCTCTGAAGGCATGGTTCCATATGATGGGGTTAGAGTTCACTCTCTAACACCGAAGGAAATTAACACCCTCTTCCAAATTAAATATTCTTCAGTCTGGTTATTGAGTTGAAGTGGCTCATGGACCATATGGCAAACACCAAGGAGGAGCTTAGGGCGGGTGAAAATCTGCAGCTGGGACATGAGAAGTTAGCAACATCTCAGCTTCTTGCCCTTGGTGAACTATTAGATCAGATCAGCTGCTCCTAGACCTGTCTAGAGGAATCAGTTTGCTCTGCAGATCATCACTTCAAGGCCCATTCTGGAAGAGAAAAGACTCAACTGAACAAGATAAAATAAGCTATTTTTTTGCTTATGCTAGCAGGTTCTTAACAATACATTCAGTATGCCATTGAATAGACAATCTGAAATGAAAGAGCTCTGAAATGTCTAATAAACTCACTCTGCAAAGATCCATGTATGGCCACACAAACGAAAATGAACGAAAATGTTCTCAGAGTACTGGAAAAATTTGGGAACAATGATTAGTTATTCAGGAGCGGCGTGATCTGTAAAGAAGCAGGCCTGGCTCAAAACCAACACAACTATGAAAAAAGTTTACCCAGGGGAAAGTAGGCGAAAAGCTCTGAAGAACTGAGGTAACAGAGGAACCAACACTGGGGGAACAGAGGCTCTGTTGTTTTTATAGGCAAATGTTTCAGAAGTCTATTCAGCAAATTATTCACTCAGTCTTAAAGTAATCGGCCCATGGGACAAGTTTGGGGCACAAGCACATTTCACCCAGCCTTTCCCTTTGTCCTGAAGGAGATGACCCCTCTGGCATGGTCTGAATGACTTTCTGTCTTGGCACAGGCAGGCATTCCCTGATAGCTCTGCTCTCACCCTGTCCTCCCACACAGAGGCACGAGCACAATGAAGTCTCTGCCTATTCCACTGCACTCCCCAGCCATGGCTGCATCGGCAGGGCAAGGAGAAGGAAAGCACTGGGCAGTAGAAAGCAGACAGCTGTCCACGTTGCCTGGAAGAGGACAGAAATTTGAGAAGTAGGGAGAGAAGGGTGGCTGCTCCAGGGAAAGATGGATGGTATTGGCCTGGTTGGATGGGAGTAAGTACTGCTGTGAAGAGGAAGGGAGGGAGGGAACAAGCTCCCGGGCACAAGGAGAAGGAAAGATCGGGCTACAGAAATCACCTATAATGGATATTCACAAACCTGTCAGCTTTGGTTGTCCTGGTAATGCTGCAAGCTTTTAGCTCAAGTGAAACCAGCATTATTGCCCTGAAACACAGCACAAGTACTTCAAGTCTGAATAATTCAGATGTCAAAATGAGTATGAGGAAGAAAATGATTTAGTGGAAGGACTGCATTGTTTTTGATGTCACTTTTTCTTTCTATTTATGCACACATACAGACACTAACAAATCAGTGAACTGGATGCACAACCAGACACCATCACTGATTACATCTTTCCCTGAACAAAAGCAAGGAAGTAGAGGAGGGAAAAAAAAAGCAAGCAAAAGTTATTTAAAAGGCGGAACTATTTGATGAGATTTTATCTGCTACACTATTTAAACAGAATTCCCAAACGATTTACAATCAGAATGTTGAGGGTTGTTGGGCATTGCAAAGGAATTTTAAATAACTCCTGTTGGCAAAGTTTTTTTTCTCAGAGTTGCCAAATCTCATTGCTTTATCACAAATCTCATAATGTTGAATTGCTTATTTAAATCACAATCCAAAGAATTACTGACTAATGAGTCTCTTGCCTTTTTTTTTTCTTCTTTAAATAAATGTAAATTTCTCAGGAACACACTTACTGCAGAAGGTAACAGATAATCAGAGTAAATACCATGTCCATGTAGTGTAGTATTGCTCATGTAGTCCTTTCAGGCCTTTCTCTAGTCAGGGGAGAAGAACACTGCTGTTTACAGGCAGCTGCCTGCTGACAGCAGAACCACGCGGGGTCTGGGGCTCCCTGTGGTTCTGTGGCAGTGCTTTACCTGGTTAATAAACCCTGGCTCCAGATTAGCTCTCACTCTGTACTCTCTCATGTTCCCTCCAACCTGCCTTCTCAGGGTCTTTTCACATTACTGAAACTTTCATGAATATAATAAAATTCCACTGGCTTCACTGTGATTCCACCTGGAAGGAGTGGTCTGTTTCACCAGCCCAAATAGAGCAGCATTAAAAAATCCAGCAGTACTTTTTAATTCTAACTCAGATGCTGGCAGGGCTGGGGGCAGGGTTTGTGCCTATTACCTGCCCTGACCACTGTGTGTAGAGGCCTGTGATGGACACCAGGCTGCCTGCATGGACACACAGGTGTGCATGGGCAGAGTCAGGAGGACGGGGATGCCTCTGGTCACGTATGGGACAGCAAGCCCAGGTAAAACCCTGCTCTTGGTCTGGTTTAAAGCTCAGGTTTTTGTTATGCCTTGAGTATCAGGCACCTAACCTTCTTCAGTTGTCAGTAAAACACCAGATATAAATGTCTGAAGGGGAGGTGTCAGCATGGAGCCTGGTGCTTCTCAGTGTTGTCAGGCAATAGGACAAGAGGCAATGGGCAGAAACTGATGCACAGGAAGCTCCACCTGAACCTGAGGAAGAACTTCTTTACTGTGTGGGTGACCATGTGCTAGAACAGATTGCCTGGAGAGGTTGTGGTTGTCTCACTGGAGACATCGAAAACCCTCTGGATGCAATCCTGTGCAGTGTGCTCCAGGAGAACCCTGCTTGAGCAGGGAGGTTGGACCAGATGACCCTCTGTAGTCCCAACCTGACCCTTTCTGTGATTTCATCCTCCATCTGATCAAGGACACCTGAGGGATTTTTGGACACCAAGACTCAAAAACTGAATTAAACCTCCAAAGAAGCAGTTCAGTTGCACACACTTCACCTGCAGCCTGTTTTCTGTGTCTTTAGCATACACCAGTGTCATCTGGAGGCTCTTTGTGGGGACCTGGGGACTCCACAAATGCATTCCAGCTGGGATGGTTGTAGCCAGGTGGGGGCTGACCTCTCCTCTCCGATTATAAGAGAACGAGAGGTTGCAGTCATCAGCTGCGTTTCCTCACAAGAAAGGGCGGTTAAACATTGGAATGGACTGCCCAGGGAGGCAGTGGTGTCACCATCCCTGGAGGTGCTTAAGGAAAGACTGGACGTGGCCCTTAGTGCCGTGGTCCAGCAGACATGACGCTGTTCAGGCTCCATGATCTCAGAGGTCTTTTCCAACCCAAATGATCTTGTGATTTAAAGAGCAACAGGCGCAGATTCTCGCGCAGCAACCCGGCCTCAAGACAGGCCTCTGACAGACGCTTATCTGGCCTCAACGAGGCAGAAGGGAGCTCCCTTCCCCTCACAGCCCCGGTTCCCCGGGAGGAGCCCGCCGCTCCCCGCCGCCTTCTCGCCCCCGGAAAGGGATCCGCCCCGCGCATGCGCGCGGCGCCTGGCGGCTGCAGCTTGTCCCTCCGCCGCCGGGGGCGCTGCCGCGCGCCTGCCCGCGCCTCCCGGGGGCGGTTCCCGCTCGGGTCCGCCGGGGCCGGGGCGGCGGCGGGCGGGGGAGGCGGGGAGCGGAGCAGCACCCGGGACCGGCTCCTGGCGGCGCTGGAGGATCTCGAGCTCTTGGCCAGGTACCGCGCTCGGCCCCCCGTCGGCCCCGGCTGGCGGCGGGGCTCCGGGGGCGGGCTGCGGGCTCCCGGCGCGGGGCGTGCGCGGAGCCGGCGGCGGGCGGAGCGGCAGCGCCGGAGCTTGGGATGGGATGGGATGGGATGGGATGGGATGGGATGGGATGGGATGGGCCGGGCCCGGCGAGACTGGAGCGCTGGCCCGACCCGGCTCGGTGCGCGTTTTGCGGCTCTCTGGCCGTCCTCAGGCCGGCTCTGCCGGTGAGGGGCCGGTGCTGCGCCGGGGTTCCGCCCGGCCCTGATCCCAGTGGGAAAGCATCGGTCGTTTGCAGAGAGAAGGAGCCGCTTCCTTTTTCTCCCACTTGCCTTTCTCACTTGGTTGACACCTGCGTTTTACTGTGAAGTGCACGCCGATTTTAGGCATTTTATTAGTCACTAAAAAATACGCTTAAGTCAGAAATATGTAGATGGTGTTGCATGACATCAGCTACCTGGTCATTGCCTGTATTAGTGCCACATTCACTCCAAGTAGGCTGCAGAGCTCCTCTTCAGCGTGATAGAAATGCTCAGATACTTAATCCAAGTTTTGAGTCCAGGCTGGTAATCCCCATCCAAGTTGTCAGCCATGTCGTGGAGGCACAGCTGGCAGTGAAGTTCAGATAGTTCCTAATTATTTTTCACACCTCAGGCAGAGCAGGAGGTTAGGAAAGCATTTTCAGAGGGAATAACCTGTGCTATCCTTGTGGCTCACTTGCTCAGTGATTACCAAGAGCAGGGATAAGCTATTGGTGAGTTGCTCTCCTTGTGTCTGGTTAGGCTTTATCCTCAGTCACAGATTTTATTGTGACACAAGGGTTGCTGGCGAGCACGTGTTTCTGGAAAAATGAAAACAAACTTGTTCCTTATCTAAATTACTAATTTTTTTTGGAGCACTGGAACTAGCCTTCTACCACAGTGAAGCCACAGCAATGCTCAGCAGCATTTAGTGAATCTTCCTATTTATCAGCAAAGTGTTGCAGCCTTTCTGTGTCACAGTACTGGTTTGGTGGTAGGGGCAGAAATTAAGCCTAATGTCTAATCTGTAGCCTTTCTGTAGTTTTGAATCTACATCTGTGCATTATCTGGCTGACACAGGGTGGAATTACAGCTCCCTGTGACATCACCCTTGATGGTGGTAGCTGACCTACTTAAAATGGATTTGCTACTGCTCAGTGTTGGTCAGGTAGAATAAAGCTTTAGTGACAGTGACAAGTTTCTTTATTCTTTAATTGTTTAAAATCATAGTAGTGTTCAGGAGTGACCAAGAGACATAGGCCAAGATCAGAGCTTTACTGAGTTTTTTTAGACATTTCTGGCCCCACTGCTGTATTACTCACACACCCCACTGAACTGCTTACACTGGACCAAGCAAAGAATCAGTACTTCCAAGGGCAGTGTCTCCAGATAAACAGTTACTCGTGCTTAGGGTTGAACTGCCATTCAGAGCATTAGAAGCCAAATAACTTTGCTGAATTTACAGAAAATGCCTTTTTTGCATCGTGGTACCCAGAGGTTCTTGCTGGTTTTTCAGAGCAGTGGCAGAGTATCTGGATATCTGGAAGAGTGATCAAGAGGGCTGTAAAAGTAGTTCCATAACAGACTCTGTTAGTATTTGAAAGTGTAGACTTAGTTGCTCTAAATTACAAGTATATTGGGGAAAAAATGGAGAAAAGTAGAGAAGTAAAACAGTGAAGACCCTCTTCAACAAACAAAGGTAGTAGAAGAAGGGTCTGAGGGCCCTCCATTATGCTGTTTCTTCTTTTAGCTTCTGTTTATGTCTTTTATGGTTTAACAGGAATTTAGCACATTTTTTGAGTTCAAATACATGAGGGCTTCCTGAGCTTAAATAACAAAGAAAAAAATGTGCTTTCTTGGTTGAAAAATCCCTGCCCACACTGTACTATATAATATAAAATACTCAGGTCCATGAATACTTTCATAGTGGTACCAGTATTCCAGGTAATTTTGGGACGACTTGATGTGAGAATGCCTTGGAAAATTGTTCAAACTGAGTTCTCTTTTCAGGGAACTAATTGAAATTTTGGCAATTTCAAGAAACCAAAAGCTTCCACAACCAGGAGAGGAGAGCCAGGTAAGCTGACTTTCTGAATTGTGTTTCTTTGGGTAAGCATAATGCTTTACTTCTCATTTTTCCCCATTCTTTTGTTTGTTCTTACTTTTTCCCTTTGTCCCTGCCTATATTCGAGTTAATGATCATGATGGGGCTTTGGCCCTGCTACAAAGGCATTATTGGTTCTCCTGTTGTTTATTCATTTTTTATGTGCTCCATAGGCTGTTTCTACAAACAGGAAGAAATTTTGTTTCATTTTTCATTCAAACAAAAATACTCCTATGGATGCCATTTGCTCTTTTTTGTAGTGTGACTGAGGGTATGTTGTTACTCTAGCCAAATTAAAAGTTCTACAAAACTGTTGTTCAATAGATCCTGGAACTGCTGATTCAGAGAGATGGAGAGTTTCAAGAGCTAATGAAGTTGGCAGTTGATCAGGGAAAAATCCATCATGAAATGCAGCTTTTAGAAAAGGTAGTAGAAAAGCGGGATAATGATATTCAGCAGCTGCAGAAACAGCTTAAAGAAGCAGAGCACATACTGGTAAGTTCATAATGATGTGTTTGCTTTTGAGCATCCTCTTGTAGAAAAGGTGGTTCTGGGCAAAGTGGTGTGGTGTTAGTTTGAGAAGATTTAAATATTTAAAACTTCATAAGAGCTTAGTGGTTTGGGTTTTTTCTCAGTAGTCAAACACTACTGTTTAGTTATCATGGTATTAAGTTGGCTTTTTTTTATAATGCTAATTTGCTTCTAAATCTACTTTATTTCTGTGTATTTTGAAAATGTTCACTGAAGTTTCTCTTTTAAAATGCAGTTAAATGGAAGGATTTATTCACAAAGCTGACTTTATGTAGATGTTTATAAATTAAAGATGCATTGAAGATTTGGTTTCCATTGTGGGTTTTTATTTTTTAAAACTAGGCAACAGCTGTTTATCAAGCAAAGGAAAAACTGAAATCAATTGAAAAAGCACGAAAAGGTGAGTATCCATAATTGTACATACTACATAAATGCAATTCTAAAGAAAGTTGTTAGTGAGCTCAAATTGGGCCTTTTTTATTTTCTTAAATTCTGCTATCACAGATATCAGATGCTTTGTGTGTAAACAAATTTCCATTTCATTATGAAACTGTAACCATTTTGTCAAAATGAAGAAAGCATTGAATTTTTTTTTTGTGGCAAACATATTTTAATATGAAAGTGTCTCAGCAGTCTTCTTGGACTGATAATAGTGTATCTGATTACCTAAGTGCCTTACCAAATTGCCTCAGGAGGTTTGCTAAGGAAAGGAAGAGAATGTTTGTGTGTACATGCACTGCATTTTGAAAGACTACTAGCTGGTGATACTAGATTGTAATTGTAGCAATTTCTGCCATTCTGTGGCACTTACCAAGCTAAACTAACTTTTTTTTTTGGGGAGGGGGGATGGCATCATCTTCAGGTTGTTTTGTTGGTTTTTTTACAGTGTCTTTTATCATTTTCTTATGCCTCTTTCATCTAGAAAATCCAGGAATTTAATAAAGTTTATTAATCTAATACAGGCACATATTTGGAAGGACTCTTCTGGGTAGAGTCTATAATTACTAAACAAACAAAAAAAACCTTTGCTACAGAAAATTCTATAATAAAGCTGGAGCTGAAGTTTGATACATTTTTTTTGTGGTTGTGAAGTAAGCTTGTTTAAGAGATTGTGTTTTTCACGACGCTGGAGAACCATCGATATTGAAGGTGTTTTGCACTCGTGTGTGTAAAATCAGTTCACTGCAAAGCTCATCCTTGTGTAGTCTGAGAATCTTCTAAGCAGTCATTGCATTTGAACCAGGCTCTTCATGTTTGGCAAAATCACATTCCCAGTCTTTTAGATATTGGTGGCCGATATTTGGAAATAATAAAATGACAGAATCTCTTGAGAATGCAGCAACATTTTTTTTCCATTCTTCCAGGTGCCATTTCCTCTGAAGAAATAATTAAATATGCCCATAGGATCAGTGCTAGCAATGCTGTTTGTGCCCCTCTGACATGGGTACCAGGTAACTATTGTGTTTATGACAGTAGATTTTTTTAAATAATACATTATGGTTAATACTGGTCTTAAAATGTTTTTATACAGTGATAACCACTGGGGTTTATTAGAATAACATTGTTTTCAGCTGTTAGATCTAATATTTCGACAAAAATAGATATCCAGAATCCTATGGACTTCACATACATCTCCAACAGGTTGTGAAACTGTCTGCTTTCATTAACAGACTGGCCTCCTCTGTTCTCCTTTGTTTGCCTTTTCCCCCTGAATGTTTACCCTGGTTATAAGTCAAAGCCAAGTATGCTAAAGGCTTTTCTATGTGTTTGGTTGTGTTCCCTCTTTCCCCTTAGAATATTCTTTCAGAGAATGTTAGTAAACAGTGGAGCCAGAAGCAGAACTTTTACACGTTTCAATTTGGGTACTACCCTCTGTCCAAAATGAAAATGTGTTTGATCCGATTCCTATCCTTGCTGTGGAGTAGCAGAGTGAGCAAAGATATCTTTTAAACATGGGGTTTCTTTTTTGTTTGAGTTGCTTTGGGTTGTTTGGGGGTTTTTTAATATGCTTTTTCTGCCAAGTTTGAGTGAACAAAGTCTAAGTGAAAGACAGACTTGGATTTTAATAAAACAGGTGTGATGCTCATTACTTATCCAAGCAACCAGAGTATGGGGTTGTTTGGTCATTAAACTAGGCTCTGAAGGTAAAGCTAATGTCTGCAAGACAATTGCAAAGCATTCTTTTTCTTTTCTTTCTTAAAGGCGACCCACGCAGGCCATATCCTACAGATCTGGAAATGAGAAGTGGTCTCTTGGGTCAGATGAACAACCCATCCACCAATGGAGTCAATGGACACTTACCAGGGGATGCACTTGCAGCAGGCAGGCTGCCAGGTAGGTGGAACTCAGTTTTGTTTTGTTTTTCTTTATTGCTTGTAGATTCCCAACAGTTATACATCCCCTTAGCGAAGGCAAATCAGAGGTAAAGCAATGAAAATTGTGGTTAATGTTGTTCCCTAGCAGTGAATACCTAGTAAAGAAAGGTAATTGGAAGTTGCATATTTTTTGTGTATGTTTTAGTAGAGCCCATTCTGGCTGGCTCCTTTGCCTTAGAGGATGCAGATGTGATCCATTTGCTTTTGAGTGCTGTCTTTATAAGAACTGAAAGGAATTTTCAGGAATTTTTGGAATTTTCCTTGAGAAGCTGGAAAATGTGGGATTTAAACTCCTGCAGTAAAATTCTTAATTGAGTCTTGAGCTCCTCTGTCAGGTTAAACACTCACATAACTAGACTGTCAAGGTAAGAGGGAAACATTGATTTACAAGAAAGTTGAAGCTGCCTGAGCATTTTGTGTAGGGATGCTGAATCTGTTGGTGTGTGGAGGCATGTCCTGAGAATGCTAATTATGGGATCTAGTCCTTCTGGAGACTGCTGCAGAGATGTCCAGTTACTGAGTCCTTAGTGAATGTGCAGACCAGTTTCTGGACTGCTCGGTAGCCTCCAGACTTTGAGGCTGCTTAGCACACACATTCAGCCTGGTTTAATAGCAGACTGGTTCTAGCATTGAAGCATGGCCACAAATATAAAACACTACCTTCCATTCTGAGCTGCTTTTCAGGCATCTTTGGATAAAGCCTTTTTCTCTGAATTTTTATGGTCTGCCTGATTTTTTTTTAATCTAATATTTTAATCTATTTTTGCATACTGACAGACTGTGATAATTTTCATTACTCCCAGTAGTTGTGAATGGTAAATCAGTTCAAACTGTGCCTTGAAGATTAAAAGCTCTGTATTGAGTACATGAGTTATCAAGAGCCACCTACATAAATGGGCCTCTGGCAGAGCAGACTTTTACAATTATAGAATTGCTCCAACATGAGATGTTTTCCAGCTGTTACTGGAGGGTTTAATCTGTCCAAAATTTAGAAAGGATTTCAAGATTTGTTTTGATTTTAAATTGAAGTTTTGGTTGAGCTGTCATGTTGAATTTGTCAATATACAAAACTGAAAGTTTTCTTGATTATGCCTCTTTTTTTTTTCCAGATGTGCTTGCTCCTCAGTACCCTTGGCAGTCAAGTGATATGTCAATGAACATGCTACCTCCTAATCATAGTAATGACTTCATGCTGGAGCCTCCGGGACACAATAAAGAGAATGAAGATGATGTAGAAGTGATGTCAACAGACTCCTCAAGCAGCAGCAGTGACTCAGACTAGGTACAAGGGGGACAATATCCTTAGTAGACCTTTCCTGTGGTGAAGGTAGATTGATGCTGTTTGTCACAAACTGCAATATCCTTTTGTTACGCCAGCAGCCCTGTGTAGGGAGAACATAACAGCTGGCTCAGAAATAGGGTGACTAATGTAAAACCATGGACTATAGACTTGTTTTTTTCCTGTTAGATGTTCTGGGAGCTGGGAGAAATGTCCGGGAGCTGTCTGCTGGGGGAGAGATGTCAGATTTTCAGTGATTGTGTAAATGTATGTTTGCAAGAGATGTGTAAATATATATTTATATATATGTATTTACTATACATTAGATGACATAAGTTCCTGGGAGAAAAATGTGTAAGGGGAATCCCCTTGTATGTTTGTTAGTAACTTTACTCTTTTGATGATAGCCTTTTCTATAACACAGAAATGAAACATGAAGTTTGTAATGTATCTTTTTTTTTTTTTTTTGTTACTGCCTAAATCTATGTTCTTGATCATCTATGTATCAAGGACAAAAATATGGCAATAAGGTGTAATAAAAGAGTTTGTAATTATTGTAATATATAATGAATGATTTGTCATAAATAAACGCAACTTTGATCTAACTTCAGTTTTCCAAAGTTGAATCTTAGATGAGTTGCCATGTAACTTCAATACTCAGTACATTTTGTCCCAGTGTCTGGTTGAATTCTGATTGAGTTTCAGAAGTTTGTGCTCTTATTTTCCCCTATGCAAAATGCCCAGTCAGCAGCTGAGGAGGAGTCAGAAGTGGAAAGCCTCTCCTTCCTTTTCAGGTGAGCCCTTCCAGGTACACACAAAGCTGGGCAGACCCTGAAGCAGCAAGTGTCCACCCACAAGGCTGCCCCAAATACTTGGCTAAGTGTCCTGGGACCCTGGAGGTGACACACTTTCGGGCATGCTGCAGGTTTAGCTCCTTTCAGCTCAAAGTGCTCAAGGATTTTTTTGTTCTTGTCATCTATAATTTTTCAGCTCTTTGAACCTGCTAATTTGTTTACTTTCACAATTACATTTCCTGCCTCAGCTGCAATGTTATTTTGTCTTTCCAAAGGCACTTCCCTTGGCTTTCCTTTCCTTGTTCTGTTTTGCTTAAGGAGTCATTTTATGACAGCTGCTTTTCTCTTATGTAACCCTCTGATAGAATTTCAAAACTCATGTGAACTGTTGCTCCTGGCAGTTAAAGGTTTCTGTCCTGCAGCACAGCTTCCCGCAGCATAGATCACAATTCTCTTCCCTATTCCATTTTTTAGATTCTTCACAGGAAGTATCTGATGAATCAGGTAATTCCTCCTTTGCTCAAGTAATCTTTCAAACATTGCTGCCAGTAATGCTGCCAACCTGTACAAATCCCATAAGGATGTAGAAAGGATTTCAGTCACATTCAATCACATTATAGGGTGCAGTGGGTTTTGTTTTCAGAAAAATGGGGAGTTTGGTTTTGTCTCAGCTGTTCCTTTTACAAGTATTTTCAGAGTTATTAAACTGTCACTTCTTTCACAGCTTAAAGTTATTAATACACATTCATACTGTAACCTTTTTTCAGGATCATGTTTTTCTCTTGGGTGCTTATCCCCAATGTCATTCCTCTTTAATTCACATTAATCCAAATACATGTGCTGTCTCAGTCATTCTAGTCAACCTTGCCTACCCCTTTTCTAGCTCACATTAGTTTTTGTCTTAAAACATGTGTGATCGGAATCATACCTAATATTGCAAAATGGAGTTTCTTAATGCTTTGTGTGATGGGATCGGTATTTTTTTTCTAAATGCCCCTCTCTTCACGCATCATACAGACGGTTCACCAGCCTCTGTTATCTTCTAACTTGCAAGGACTTTCTTGAAACAAAATACAAACATATGTAATTGAAACTCATGGGAAGTGTAGTGTTACAGTGTGCCCAAAACACTTCTATGGCTGTGTCTATGTAATTAACCAACTGAAATATTGTGGAGGTGGGTGATTGTTTTCAGACATAAGAGGGAACTGAAGCAATGACCACTTCTTTTTCTGGCTTGTTAGTTACTCTGTTACAGGATTAAATGGGACCAATGTATTACATCTAAGAAATAGGTAAGGCAACAGCTCTGCCCACTGTTCACTTAGCATAAAATCAAACTGGCTATCTTAATCAGTTTCCTTGCATCAGTGCTCCAAACTATGTGCAGTTCAGGAGTATGCATCTCAGTGCTGGCTAACTATAATGCCATTTTAAGGGAATTCTGTCAGTTACAAGCAGTTTAGTGAACCATGGTACGGTAACTGAGTGTTCTGTTATTCAGTGGCTTAGATATGTACATAATAGATTTTCCTAGTTAGCAAAAGTACCAAAAATCAAAGTAAAGGCTTAGTTGAAAGGACTGAGTTTTGGCAGCTAAAATCGACTGAGAACCACATTTTCTGGAGGGGTGGGAAATATAAATGTGTGATACATACAAACAAAGTTATTTAAGTTGGGGATTGCTGGCAGCTGGTTGCAGTAATGCACTGTTGTCTTTTAATTGGTCCAGTTTGAAAAGATACAGAAATGCTGACGTATGGAGATACTGTTTGTGTCCTCATTTCAGTGTCTACTTGTGTATTTACAAGAGATAGAATGTATATAACCATTAGCAAAATATGCCAAGAAAGTATTTATTGCATGACAGACCATTTTACAGTGGTCCCTATTTTCTCATAAATACATAGATGTTTTCTAAAATTTAAAATTGTACTAAATAATTTAATTGTTTTTCTTCATTATTCTTTGTGACAGATGGGCAGGACATCTGTCAACTCTTCCTACAGCTTCATTGTTGACAGCTGAATGGAATGTTTTTCAGTGTACATAAGGTTGCTTGCAGGAAGCAAGTATCCACTTTTGAATAGAAAAATAAGCTTTTCACAAAGTTACAGCAGCAAAGGAATTTTTGGTGAAATTTCCCGTTTCAAGACTGCTGTGTAATGTTACTTCTTTCTTCTCTTCAGAGAACGGGTGTCTGTCCTAAGGGAAGTTGCATATAATTAATACTTCAAACTCTAAGCAGGAGAATTGCTAGGGGCAGTAGCATCCTTATGCCTCATCACTCTGTCTGTTTCTCAGCAGGAAGAGCCATCTCCATTTAAAAAAATATGTTCAAAGTAAGGAAGAGCTTTAAATCCCTCAAGCTGATTTCTTTTAAGAACTGAGAAGTCAATTCATAACTTCAAGCAATTTTAATCTCTCAGTATTGTACCTGTATTTTATTCAAAAGAAATTAAAGACATCTTACAACATTTTTGTACAATGAGTATATCTAAAGGAAATAGACAAGAGATGTGCTATAAAGAACCCTGACAAGAAAAAAAATGAGCCAACTTGTGATTTATTTAAAAGTTATATCTTAAAATTAATTGCTGATGTCTTAGTGACAACAGCTGGAAAAGAATCAAAATTAGTTACAAATTCTAGAAAAATTAAAAATCTTAACTCTTTGGTTTTGTATGTACTGTTGGGTGCTGTAATTTCATTCACTAACGAATTAGTCATTTAATCAAACTGAAAATTCACAATTTTACCAAATCTCAATAACCAGCCATACAGGACTACACCCATCTGTGCTGTTTAATATTGACAATTCTCTTTAGCCACAAAGTATGATTTTTGCCATGGAGCTACGCCTATAAATGACACAAATCTTTGTGTCACCTAGTAGGGTAGTCACCTCTCCACTCCAAGAATTCAGATCACTTACAGAGATCTGAGACATTTCTGCAGATAAATTCAATGTAACTGATGCTATAACAGAACTCTGTTACAAAAGCAACTGGCAAGAAGGGTCAGGGAATTTTCATTCCCTGCAATAAGTCATGACAATCTTTTCACATTTATAATACTCTTGATTTTCAAGTGTATACTGCTGTCTGCAGGGAAAAAGGCACTGTCTATTAAATGTAACTTTTGTTCATGACACTAGTTTCATAACTGAAGCTAAGAGAAAAGGCTAAATTTTAAAATCGGTCCAATAATTACAGGAAAGCAGGTTTAAATGAGTAAGTTTTGCTGCAACTGCTTTTAAGTGAGTAAGCTTCCTTGGCTAGTGCAGATTTCCAAATGGCTGTTCGTCATTATAAAGATTAACTAGATGAAACACTGAGTTTTCTGTAAAAGCAAACCTTAATTGTTAACTACTAAACCTAGAACTGGGTCTGGGATGAGAGACAACTGTTGTGTGAAATACGGGAAAAACACTGAAACAGTTGGCATTGTTCTTCTTTGGGAAAGGTAATATTTTTACATGGGCAGGGTGAGCATGTCATATCTTTTTTTTTCTTCTATACCGAAAAAAAGCATGTCTTGGCATTGTTCTTCTTTGGGAAAGGTAATATTTTCACATGGGCAGGGTGAGCACTTCATATCTTTTTTTTCTTCTATACCAAAAAAAGCAGGTCCGTCCTTTAGTTTGTCATGTAAGGTACAATTTGTTTTTACTCTAACTGGTGACTTCCCGTGTACCCCTTTAGATGATCGAGCTCTTCTGTAAAGGGATTGTAACCTTGCTCTCTTAAACAGCGCAAGGCCCAGAACAGTTGATCTGCTGGAGGAAATTCATTCCATTTGACCCATTCCCAGCCTGTAGGGAAAAAAAAAAAAGAAAAAAAAGGCAAAATCAGAGTGATCAGAGTATGGAGTTAAGACAGGACTCAAGGAAACAGCAGGAAGCTGTGGAAGGAGAGGTTTAGGCTGGATGTTAGGAAAAGGTAGTGGGGCACTGGAATAGGCTCCATAGTGCAGCCTGACAGAGCTCAAGGAGTGTTTGGACAACCTTCTCAGGCACGAGGTGGGATTGCTGGGGTTGCCCCGCGCAGGGCCAGGAATAGGATTTAATGATGCTTAGGAGTCCCTTCCGACTCAGGATATTCTTTGTTTCTGTGATATAACAATTCTTCCTCTGCAAGTCCAGAAGGATCATACAGAAACTATCAACACAAAGTCAGGTTCTCTCTTGCACATAGAGTCATTTTACCTGAGCAGCTTTTTTGTTTCCCAGAGAAGCTGTGGATGCCTCATCCCTGGGAGTGTTCAAGGCCAGGCTGGATGGCGCTCGGAGCCACCTGACCTAGTGGGAGGTGTCTTTTCCCGCGGCACGGCGCTTGGAACTAGTGATCACTCACTCACCCTCGTTCTTGTCGGGCTCCAGGTTGCGCGGCTCGGCGCCGGGCTCGGCCTCGCCCTTCATGAGCACGGTGACATAGTGGTAGCGCCGGGACGCGCACACCGCGTTCACGGCCGACGCGAAGCGCACGTGGCGCAGCGGCAGCGCCGCCTCCTCCAGCGTCTCCCGCGCCGCGCACTCCGCCAGGCTCTCCCTGCGGCCCAAGGCAAGGGAAGGCGCGGCACGGCCGCCTCAGGGCACGGCGGGCAAGGCAAGGGCAGGGCAGGGCGGGGAGGGAGGGCGCGGGGCTCCTACCCGAACTCCAGGTGCCCTCCGGGGAGCTGGTAGGTGCCGGCGCCCAGCGCACCTTTCCGCTTGCCCAGCAGGACGCAGCCGGGGTGCGCGGCGCTGGTGACCACCACCCCCACGCCGACCCCGGGCCGCCGGGGCTCCGCCGCCTGCTCGCCCATGGCAGCCCCGAGCAGGCGGGGGCGGATCCGCCAATCGCGGTTTGGGAGCCCGGGTTTTGGCAGCCCTCGGGGGGGTGTGACCGGAGCCGCGGGGCGGTGACGGCGGTGGCGGGGCTGCGAGGCGGGCTCGGCACGGAGCGGCGCCCGGTCCTGCTGCCTCCCTGCCGCCCCTGCCTCTCGCCTGCTGAGGCCACCGGGAACAGAAAAGGCGTTCGTGCAAACGAGGGGCAGCTGGAAACAAGCAAGATGCGATCCCGTTTTTGAAGCTCAAGGAGCCAGTCGGTCTCTTCACTGCAGATTTGTTCAGAATTTAAGAAGTGGCCCTTCTTTGGTTAGCCCACTGTTTCTGGTCTGCGGAGAGTCTGACTCTGAAGTGTCACGTGGGAATTATTTAAACAGGAAGCTACAAACTTAGCTGAGCAGAGCTCCACAGGCAGAAGAACAGCTGAGCAGAGCTCCACAGGCATAATAGTCAGTTCCTGACTATTAAAGAAGAAATAAAAGTTTCTGCTGCCAAATACTAACCTTCATTCTCACATTTTTGTAAATTACAGAGATATGTAGAATACAAGATACAAGCTTTGATTTTCTTTATAAACAACTGTAAAGTTCGTCAGATTTTCCCCTTCTTCAGCCTATTGATCACAACAGAGAAAGAAGTTTTTTATTTGCAGACCTTTCAGATTGGTTTTGTGTTTTTATTTGGTTGGTTTTGTTTGTTTTGGTTGTGTGTTGATAATGTTTTAAAATACCTATGTACAGATGGTTTTATTTACATGTGAAGGTCACGGGACCCAACTGTCTGAACCTTAGTCACATTTTCTGGCATCAGTTTTTTGGGGTTTAACTGCCCAAAGTGGCTCAATACAGCATCAGATGGGTCCTGGTGTTGGCATGAAGGGCATGTCAGGAACAAATGGCTGGGTGTGCTAGAAGCAAGGCTGCACTTTGGCAGTATTTGGCCATGCTGCTTAAATGTGATGTAAGCCCATATAATGAATTACTGACATTGGTAATAACAGCAATAGTAACAATAATAAATAATCTTGGGCGAATTGCCAAGCTAACAAGACTTTTTGTAAACCAAGCTCATTCATTTGTATCTATCTCCCCAGTACAGCTGAATAGTATCCTAGTCCATGAGCATATCCATTAGGAGTATCCTAATCTCATGATTAAACACCAGACATATCAGTTATATAATTTCTGTATTTACATTTTAAGACAATGATCTTACAAAAGCCGTATCAAAGCCATTTTGGTCCAATACATTAAAACACCACAAAGTTTTTTACCTGAACAATGAAAGCATTCTACTTTCTATGTACATCATTTTCCTGTACCTTTTACCAAAAAGCACTTAGTAACAAGTCTTGAGGGTGACCCATTGTCATTCTACTGATTTATTTTTAAATGCAAAAAAAAAAAAGTCCATATGGTCATTATGCTTGTTTACTATATTACAGAATACAATTCAATGAAAATCTTATATGAAGATGATTATGTAGAGTATAAAAAGTATATTTTTACAAACAATATATTTTTATTTGTCAGTACGCTAAGATTTTCCCTTCCTCTCTACCATCCTATTGATCACAACAAATACATGAAGTATTACCCTTTCACAAAACTTTCAAATGGCTAATTTTTTTAAGGTTTTGAAATCTGGTTGTATACAGATGTTTAGATTTGTTTCAATTTTTTTCACCTTACAATTGTGATCATTAATATAAAGAATACCGTATGAAAAGAAGCATTTTGTTTACTGAATCTGTCCTCAAGGTTTTGAAATCTGGTTGTATACAGATGTTTAGATTTGTTTCAATTTTTTCACCTTACATTTGTGATCATTAATATAAAGAATACCATATGAAAAGAAGCATTTTGTTGGCTGAATCTGTCCTAATTGGTTTCATTCTAGGATTTATTTAGGACATACCTATGCAGCTAGGTATTGCAGATCATGAAGTAAATATAGGCTGGTTTTCTGAGTCTGATGGTGAACAAACATCCACTGAAGAAAGATATAGGAATAAACCAAGAATGAGAAAGTACCAAAATCCTCCGCTACAGTAGTATGTTGAAAAGCTTGCAAGAGTATGATTTATATATACTTGTAAACTTCTTTATTAATATTTCATCTGAGAAAATACTTCTGTGAGCCAAAACAGTGTATTTAAACCAGCACGAGTCCAGCAGCTACTGGAAGAGAGGCAGATATTTTTCAGGCCAAATCCCTTGGTCCTTATGCTAATGCTTTTATTGGTTGAAGTGTTATTAACTGTATGTCTGAGCTGAGCTGATCTGGATCATAAAACCCTCTTTTTTCATCAATTTGTTTTCTAGCATGCTGTGGGTGGCCCAGGGAGGGGACAGGACAGAGTTCAGTCAGATTAAACACAGCACAAAGCTAAACCTGACTCAGCAAACTGGGAGAGAGATGACAGTTTTAGTAGGATGTGATCCCTGATGCAATTTACAGCTCAGGTACATAAGCGAGGGAGGCAGTGAGTCAGAGCAGCTGGGAACAAGAATGGTAAGACCAACCATGTCAGAGACAGGCCAGATTTATGCCAGATTAAATGACTACACAGCTGTTCCCTAAGAAGAGCACACATAGGGAAAGCAGGTTAGAAAAGCACACAGTGTACAACAACTTATTGAAAAGCAGCTACACAAGCAGAATACATCCATCTTTCTGAGAGTTTCATACACATGGCTCCCTGGCTGTGGAATTTATATATATTTGCATTTTCTTAGCAGAAGTATGAACTGGGAGATGTAAGGATTATATTTAAATATTTTACACTGCAAAGCTGGCATTGAGAAGCTGGGTGGATTGTGACAGCAGTGCATGACACCAAAGTTTCAGCAACCTGGCTGAAACTTGAATTTGAAAGATTTTTCTTCTCTTGCATTCTAGGAGCTGGTTGTTATCCTGAACACTGATACTGAAAATGTAACATTGTTAATGGTTTCCTCACTTTTATTTTAGCAGAATAATTTCCATGACACCACATGTTGCCATTAAATGGCTGTCTTTCACCATAAATTATAGCTTGCTGTAATATTATGGCTTTATAAACATCATTAGTGGAAATCAGGCAAAGTGTGATATATAGTTTTTATGTTGAAATGTAAATAACCTCTGATCACATTTACATGTGGAGAGAATAATGGTGTGTGCAAGAGCAATAGGAAAAATTAGAGCTGTACTACAGGTGTGCTGTCTTCATTGCTTGTTAATTATTTCTTTTCTGTGTCCAGACAGGACTGAGTCATTGGAATGAATGAAGGTGCTGAGACAATTCTGTTTTATGTGTAGCTTTGTCATTAACAGTTTAAGTGACCTTGGGCAACTCATAGGTGGGTGATAATGGATTGTGCTTCAGCTTTGATGAAAGTTCTGGGTGTACTCAATCCCAGGAGACCCTGAATCAGAAGAATATAAGTGTCTATTCCTTATCCATCTAGGATAGTATCTGGAGGTCCAGAATGGGTGTCGAGGGTTTTTGACTATGATTCTACAGCCATCTGTGGCTCAGTGACTTCTCAAGGCAGAGGTGGTTCTGTGTATTTACTAACCCTCTTATTTAACCTACCAAGACTCCTTTTGAGCCCATGTAAATTTTCAGCATTTCCAGCATCTGTGGCAACGTGCTCCACAGCTTAGCTATGTGAAAGATCATTTTTTGCAAACCGAACCATTTTGCTTCCATTGAGCCTTTCACCAACCTTCACTGGTTGGGAAGAGATGGTGCATTAGTGATTAATGTTCATACTGTATTCTGTAGAAAACTGCATCTGAGAGTGTGCACACCAAATGCCTGTTTGCTGGGACAGATGTCAGAATCCTTGCAGGAGATACACTGGAGAACCTTCAGGGAAGGACCCTGGATTGTCTTTTCTGTATAACTGGGAGAAGCAATGGAATAACCTGTTAATATTGCAAATGGGTGCAGTGAATAGTTTCATGTTGTTAGATATGCCTGAGGGTCCCCTTAGCAACCTGCAGTTTGTCCAGAGACAACCATGATAGTACTCCTGCAGACAAGCGATGCAGAGAAAATCCAGCATGTGTAAGACATGCAATGTAAGGCAGTGTAGACACCACAGAAGGATTATTCTCACTCTGCTTCAAAGTCAGTTTTTTTGCTCTGAACATGGCTATTTCATCAGCTGAACCTGTTTACTCATTCACAATACCAAAAAAGTGGGCTCTTCCTTCCTGTCTTCAACTAAAAGTGTTCTGGAAAGCTCAGGGTGATTTTTTCCACAGGTGCTGGGATGGGCTTTTTATCATGGAATTTTTAAGCCCATGATAAATTTCATCTTGGAAATTTCCTACCCTCTGAACTCATGGCCTTGGCAGAGGATTTCACCTTCTGACTCCAATGTTCTTGGCAAGACCCTCTCTCCTGATGTTTTTCAACTACAAAGTATCAACCAGTGGAGCTTACAAGGTCTGGGAAATAAATCAGATTGTACCATGGTCACTGCGTGGATGTGATAAATTTATAATAAAGCAAATTCATGTCTATTCATAATGCCTGAGCCTTACAGGATGCTATATTTGGCCTCAAACAGGATGCTTGTCTGTTAAAACGTCTTGGCTCCTTCTATCTCATTTGTAATGTACCTTTCACCTGCTTCTTTATAGTTTTAAGCACAGCTTTTCAGAGAGGGCCTTGATCCTGTGCTAAAAATCTTATTCTGATTTTAGCAAGAAATCTCATAATTTTAAACTTTGAATAGGATGAAATCTTTCCTGGAGATTTAGCAAAACCTCTGGATATCTGCTGGAATCCTACAGTGCATTCCTTGTGCAGTCTCTTCAATCGTAGGTCAGATATTAAACGAGGCTGAGCCTATACAAACCTGAGTTTATACTGGACTCACTAGGAATTTGTCTGGTTGTAGCCAAGAGTGTTATCTTTCCTTGTGTGTCTAACAAAATAAAGAAAAGGTGAATGTGTCATTTCCATAAGATTTTGAGTTGGGCTTACAACCACCTTGTGCTGACAGTCAGAGCCAGGCGGTGGCACTGGTGATCAGACGGAAATCCAGGCATGTTTACAGTCCACCCCAGTTAGACGAGTTTTCACAGCCAAGAGGAAAACAGGCAATAAAACATTCAGATAATTAAAGTTCTCCATACAGCTGTGTATGAGACTCTAGATAGCGGCAGCAGCTGCCTCAGTCTTTCTAGAAGTCCTTCAATATTGTCAGCCATGTGACATATCTTCTTTTGATGTATAAAGTAAAAATCGTCTTCATTTTGAAACTGGAAGGATAAGTCACTCCTAGTGAGAAGAAGATACAGTAGTAGTTGTAATCTGAATGTCTTACAGTCATTTGCTACAGCAAGAATTAATTATAAGCCCACAGACAGTTGTCCAATTTCCTTCCAGTGGCAAGCAACTGAGTCAGGATATAAGTCGGATTTCCTGACATGAAGCCAGTACTTATCTCTGAACAGTAGCTTTGGGCTTTTACGGTTAAGGTTTAAAGTTTTGCCAAGATCCATTGCTCCTCTTGTAAACATTGTTTCAAATCCTTTCCAGGGCGGAGGTCATTTTGGGGAGTCTCCTGGAATTAGGAGATTTCTTTGTATGTGGATGGCATCCATGTACTGTCCTGTGCAGTATGGAACTGTGCAGGTCCTGTGACCAGTGAAGAGCCACTGTGTGTACAGAGGGCAGAAAGAGCACAGAGTTCAAGTGCTTTTTCTTCCCTTCCCCTTGGCCAGAAGAAATATTTTATCAGCTGTGGTGGGAAATCTTGGATGGTCTATCAAAATTTTGCAGCTACTTACAGTTTCAGTGACACGTGCTCCTACCTTGTGTGTCTGCGCACGGAGGTGCAGAGCTGAGCACTCTGCAGAGCTCACTGCAGCGCTAACAGGTGACAATAACACCAGGTCAGCGGAGGACCAGGAGCAAAACAACTGAACCAGAATGACTCCATCTTTTGCAATACTCGCTCAAGGAGAAGTTATGACAATGCATTTTCAGTTTCAGAAGAAAAAGAGGCGACTCATCCAGTTATTTATTGGCTAACTCAAGTGACAAAACTCAAGCAGAATCACAGCTCTGACATGGCTTTCTTTCACATCAGATCTTCCTTTGATGTTCATAATGTATGGAAGTAACTGCATTTTTCCTTACTATAGGTAGAGAACGTTCTTGTTCCGGTTTCCCAGGCCAATGCTATTTTCGTAATTAGCATTTTGTTTTAAAGGAAAAAGCTTTTCTTGCTGGTGAATCACAAGGTGTGGTCACTAGTTTCTGCAGGGACGCCTGTCCCCTCCTTCAGCTCCTTAGTGACCTGAGTCGAGGCCACCGAAGGCAAAATACAGACACTGAATTGCAGTGGGGGAGGCACAGCATGGAGCTGTGCGAGGCAGAAACGGGGGTTGTGGCATGGGGAAGGGGCTGCAAAATACCTAGAAATACTAGTCCTCATTTCAGTCATAGAACCACTGAATGGTTTGGGTTAGAAAGGACCTTAAATATTGTCTAATTCCAACCCACCTGCCACGGGCAGGGACACCTTCCACTAGACCAGGTTGCTCAAAGCTCCATCCAGCCTGGCCTGGAACACTTTCAGGG